CTCCACATCATGTTATGAAAATCTATTATAATTTAAAATTTAAAAAAAAATATTAATTTTACATATAATATAATATTTTAATATTAAAAATTAGTATATTTATTTAAAATCATATCGGTTCGTCAATTCCAGTTGTTGATAAATATTGTGTAATTTTGGTTTATAGGTTATATTATAGATTTGTAGTGTTTTTAATCAAAATTATATTTTATCATAATAAATTAACACGTTCATCTACGTATATAATACATGGAATTTTGAATGTAGATGTTGTGTTTTTTTAAATTAAAATCTGTTTAAAAAATGTAATCCACCCATTATTATGTACTAACCCAAAATATATATTTCATAATTAATCATTACCATTATTAATGATGACCAAACATTTTAGGTTAAAAAACAGAAAAAACAAGAGGAAAAATCGGGAAAGAAAAACTATGGAATTGGCGTTCAATAAGACGAGAGGGAACGTGGCAAGGGGCAGAAGATCGGCTGGTCAGAGGAAAAATAAAAAAAAAGACGATAAGTTCAGATGTCTGTGGATTAAAGTACCATATCCGGTGACCGAAGACTGTACGTGTTCGTGTAGAAAACTTGATGAATAATCTAAATAGAACGAGTGCATGTTCATAAATAGTCTCACACGATTCAATTTTTTAATTTCGTTCTCACGTGAATAAAAGACTATAATACAAATCTACTTTTGCACATTCAAAAAACGATATTTCGTCAACCTGAACATATTATTGTATTTGAATATGTTTTTTTTTTTTTTTAGATATTATAAAATGTGATACAAAAACATACGTTGTTAATTATTTTAGGTATTTCTTTATTAACTTTTTCTCGTCTTTACGAATGGTCCTTCGACTTACTAGATTAATAAATAAGAATATAGTTTGGATAACGATAATTTTACCTAAAAATCAGGAGAACGATTAGGTACATGCGTTTAATGGAACAATGTTTATCTTTTAGTTTCTTCTTTTTTCGTATTGTTAAGTGTGTAAATCAAATTTTAATGACTAMAAAATCATTAAAARGTATATTTTCAACAAAAACCTCGTTTGTTATTTATACAGAGTCGAGAGTATATAAATCCGCCGACGTTCAGTACAACCCTTAACGATTATCAGATTATTATATTGAATATATTGTATTCAAGGAAATATTTAAATCATCAAACACTAGACGCGAAGAAAACTGCGAAATGATTAAATACCCAGGTGTGTTATATAAAAATATAAAATAATATTTTATTCAATGTTTCCAAACGTCAGACTTAGAGAGTGTGTAATTTAAATCAAAATAAAGATTATGTAATTTGCACCACTGCAGTCAGTTAAAAAATACTATTGTTGATTTATACCGAAATAAGGGTTTGTAAATTGCACCATCGTAGATATTATATGCTTGTAGTCTTTGACTTAATAATTAGGTAATTATGTATTCGATTATTCGTCAATTATTATTTGATTTTAATTATGCTGACTATTTGGCTAACAAATATTGTTTTTTGTATCAGTGTATTACTAACACTTTATACGTAGCATATAAATACATATTATKTACTCATAAATGTATTACTGCAAATGTATGGCTACACAACAATATCCGTGAGCTCGACTTATGTAAGGTGACTTAAGTTATCGACAGAATCATGATTGTTGTATAATATTTGCATTGTAGTGATTTTTCCACCTATTTTATAGATAAAAACTAAGCCAATGTAATTATATTATGTTTATAGTGTTATATTAATGAAATAATACCTGTAACATTATATAAGATTTTTTTACTTATATTATTGGTATAATAGCTATTAAGTCATCACYGATGACGCACCTTTGAAAGTAGAATGGTGTAAATACGAGTATAGTGAAATAATAACCACTTATTGAATTTAATACGAAATATTCTATGTTTTTATAGATTCTCAAATCTCAATATACTCCACTCCACTATTGAAACTTGTAAGTATACATATAGGAACTATCGAAAAAAAATCTGTTTGAATTTTGGAGCAAATTACAAATTCCTATTTCATAACTGCTTATAGATTGTGAAACGTCTAGCAAACTACCATTAGATGATGTTTGGCATAGGTACCTAGGCTAGATATACATTGTTTTGAATATAAGCTTTGGTGCAAATCGATTACAGCCAATAATAAACACGCCCGGGATTTTAAAATATTACCCACTATTTTGTTCTATTCTGTGACTACAGATTGATGAAGAACTAATTTTTGTTAACTCCTATAATTTATATTATTATATAATATATTTAACTTAACCTAGTTTTTTGTTTTGCTACATGTCGTTTTTGGTTTATTGAAGCTTACTGACTAAGACTCATAATGCTAGAATCACATAAGTAATTKATGTTTTCTTAACCTAGTTTCAAAATTTAGTCACGTTTGTGTGTTGCGAAAGGTAACACAACTTCATAAATGTACACTGACTTCGAGTGTTTATGAATAATATTTGTTAACATTTTTTTTTTCTACTATTCATTTTTTACTGCATAAACTCGACGATCATTAGTCAGCGTTACATTTTTTACATTGAAAATAGATTGAATTTACATTAAGTACATTTAATTACATTACACTTCATAATAGACTACAATTCATTACACTAGAATTCAATAAAATGTGACTGTATGAATTATTGATAAAACCTTTGGATGAATATTACAATAATAWATAATATTATAGTATATACTGTAATTATTATTATGATTAATACAGCAATCGGTAAAATTGACAAAAATAACTTACAATTCAGCACTTCGCTGTTACATTTTTTTTAGTTTTCATCGTAGTTCACATATTATAATTGTTGATTTGATCGTRCCCGTGCTCAACTATTGTTTTTAGACTGACGTTTAGAAGCAATCACCCTACGAATAGGTGTCAGACTGAATCATAAAAATATATTTATTTTTTTAATTTAACGATGAGAACCGAGAATAATACATTCTATACATCACCCGATAAATCACCCAAAATACACAACAGCTYGAAATAAAAATATGTACCWATATATGACAAATGACAATGAAGAGGAAACACCCCAAAATAAGAAACATTCACTATCTTTATGTATTGGAAGTGTTGGTTTTAAGATACCTACCAAATTATTATTTTGCGTAAAAACTAATTATAGTTCAAATGTATTAACTATACATACCTACTATACTATATAAAGTTTACATTATGATACATTTAATTACTAACCATAATTTACTATATATTGTTTGGTTTTTAAATCATGWTGGATTCGTTTTTTAACCTATTTTCGTAAATGATATTCAAAATGAATCTTTTGTTGGAAGAAACTTTTTTCACAAACTTGGAACGTYTACCACTGTAAAWATTAGGCTAAGGCGATGTAAATTGCACTTTTAATTATAACATTTATTGTGTGTCCTTAAGCTTTAAATCCCAACCATGRCGTGTAACTACGTAATTTAAAAAGAAGTGGAAACTATTACTAATCCAAAATCTATATAGTTTTTAAACTAGCACACAACATTAAATTAATTACTATAAAATATTTGTTGAGTTTCAAATTAAATTTTATGGATGTTATAGTATACTATAAAATGAAACTTATTTATAATAATGTTAATTTTGTGACTAAGTATAATTTATGCATGTTTTTTTTTCACACACATATGTATCAATAAATGTATCCCCTTTTTCGATATTTATCAATTATTTAATTTCTAGTCCATTTTATTTTATTTTTATTTTTTGGTTTMTAGTTTTTTCTTTAATTTATTGTTGTACCTAAAGTATTAATTTTTTACAATTTTTACATAAATAAAATTGTATTTGTTTTTAATAAAACAACATTTTATTATTACATACATTTATTTGTTAAACAGAGCGATTTCTTAGTTAAATTTATTCAAATTCWAATTTCCAATTTTAAGTATACTTAAAGACCATATTTTCAAATGAGAACCTTCTCTTTTACTACGATTCCTTCCCATTTTTATTTCTATGAATTTGACTCTAGTTGATTTTTTTATAGTCTTGTAGATTATTTTGTATTCTTAAAAAAATATATAATTAAATCGCTATTTCAAGGTGCTATTTAATTAATAATTGTTTAATAAAAAAGCTGTAGATTATGCGCTATTTCTTTTTTTTTCGTTGCTGCAAAATTTCTACAGTAACAATACCAGAGTTATGAATTAAGTTTTCTTCGAGCTATATTAATTAATGATCATAAAGTAAACATTGATATTTTACCGTTAGTGATGTCACAGGTACCTAAACATTTAAATAAGAATATTTTCAACTTGAAATTAATAATTTGAAACTTCTATAATATATTATAATATAATATTCGTTCAATGTTGAGCATTTGATCCTTGGCTTTATCATCTAATCGACAACCAATCAACTGTTACACGCTTTCACTGTCTGCATGATATTATACAAGAAAAAAATGTAAAACATTGAAATAGACACTTAAATGAAACACATAAAACAACAATTAAATTTTAAATTTTACAATATTATAATTCTGAATGATTATCGTAATTTATTATAAATAGATAATAATATCTACAATATAATTACATTTCTTCTAAAATTTATTATTCAATAAAATAAATCGATCTTATGCTGCGTTGTTAGAGTATATATGTCTTATTTGAAAGCTTATTTAACTGTCGAAATCTAAACGTTTGTCTACTATATTCTRTAAAGATAAAAAGTGAACATTTCAGACGGCGTTGTAGGTAGGCAATTTGGGTGCATTAATGTGTAGAACTCATAAACCGTGTATCATACACATGTGTTTATATATAAGGTTGATTAATCTATATTTAAATATAATAAATAGGGCTCGGATTTCAATGCAATTGCATCTCTTTTTGGGTATGTCTTACGTGATGCTTTCCAAACAAAAAATATGTTTCAAGTATTCCGTGTTCAAGTTACA